AAGTAAAAATATCAGAAAAATCTACTTGAGTACAGTTACGAAGTATTTCTACTTCGTTACTTCCCATCTCTGCCTTTTACTAACGACCACCTGCTCATTGCACAGCTGGTAGCATTTAGTCTAACCTGTCCCTGGTTACTTAGAAATAAGGAATTAACAAAAATCATTTATTTGAGCAAACACATTCAGCTAACAAAATATCCTAGTTTGCTCAGACTGAACCACTCAACTAGAAACTCAGGATTGCTAGTCTGATGGCAGGAAGTCAAATGAAATCTGTTAAAAGTGTAGGAGCAAAACAAGCTAGCACGTGTGCTCGGTGAAGGTTTCTGAATGTCAGGTGAGAGTTTCTGTTCAGTTGAGCGACAGACTCGTTTTCTGACCCTTTAAAATGTTTGTCCTTTATTGCTCCATTTAGTTTTATTTGTTAAAGGTCATGATCTGCAGCACTGAAAAGCCTGAACTATTTATAGAGCACGTTTAACAACTACATAAATAAATATTTGTTTTCCAGATCATCCAATTTATTTAATTTCTCATCAATCTACTCCCTCTATTACAACCCTTCACTAGTATTTATCAAGTAACTTACATGATTACATGATCCTATAAATTGAAGGACAGCAAATGGAAATTAGTCAGATTACAATAAACATTTCTTGACAGCATGGAAGCTCAATAGCTTTTTTCCAAACCCTGTTTTACACATTTTACCCTTTGCACTTTTGGGAGGTCTGAGGACAGATTGATGGAAATGCTGTTAATGAATTATTTCAGGGTTTATACAGGAATGAGTAAGTCTAATTTTATTGCTTTTTAACGCTCTTAAAAAGCATTAAACAGTCAAATCCTTCTTCATCTCTACTGTTGACAGGCTGCAGCCATGTCTCGAATTCCTCATTTTCCAGCCACTTTTGTTGAATTTTACATTTTTCCATTCTCTAACTTTTTCTCCACCTCGAGCTTCCTTTCCAAACATACGGCCGTTCCATGCAAACATGCGGAACCAGTTATATATGATATAATATAGCTGACGAAACTGTTTTTTTGTTTAAATAAAGCATTTTAAATGCAGCTAAGATCCCATTTAATAAATTTTAATGCCAATTAAGGCCTTGCTTTAAAGAACAATAATTTAATGACTTTTAATGATTTTTTATGAACCTACAAACAATTTTTTTTATAAATCCCAAAAATAAAAAATCGCTTTTTGAAAAACAAACTGTAACGATATTGGTTAAACATTTGCATAAACATTATAAATTAATATCAAATGTTTTTTTTCTACTTGAGTAGATTTTCAAAGTCCATTTTTGAAACAAACTTTATTTAAATTTCCATTTTAAATTGTCTTCTTTGCTTTCAACAATACTGGAACAAAGATCTCTCCATACTTTAAGTCTGTTCAGTGAAGAAACTAATTCCTCAAGACTGAAGACTAAAAATGATTTTTTTAGATTTTGGGATCAGACAGAGCTTAAAGTAAATTAGTCAAACAAAGTGACAGAAGAACTGAATAAATACGTGCATTTATTTAACAGAAGTCAAGTTTAGCATTGATATTTGTACAGCTCCCTCCGGTACATTCAACAAACAGGAACTTAGAGCCAAATCATAATTAAATATTTCTCTTATAAATTGCATATTGTATGGAAAATAAATACATGTTCAAATGAGATGTTCTCTCTTTTCTCTTTAAGGGATGCAATAAGGCAGAAATACTTAACATTTAGATGCAGTAGTACAGAAAAGCTACAAACAATCTCTTTAAGTCATCATAGAAATATTTTTGACCTTAAATCGTTCATCAGGCCTCCATCGCTTCCATGCAACAACTTATTCCTAAACATTTATAAAAAGAAAATAATATCCTATTCTGCTGTAGTTCATAAGCTGATTACTAAGAGGGAAAAAGCATCAGAATATTTGCTGGATGGATCTGTTGGTTTGGACCAACGTCTGCAGCTCATCCCTGAACGATGAACGAACGTCCCAGACGGGGAAAAAAAAAACGTAGAAACTGTGCGACTTTATGCGTGTGAAGCATCATTGTTCAGTGCATGAAATGATCAACGCCTTATTCTGTGAACAACATGAAATCAGCTCATTATAAACCGCCAGCTGTCAGGCCATCAGTGCCGCTCCCAGGAGCCGTCAGTGACCTGGAAACTCGGCTGAACAGGAGCTGCTGTCTAGTTTCTACTGGACAGCGTAGAAGTGAGCTGCAGGTGGAGAAACGTGTGCAGAGGCCGGCTGTTAGTGAGGACTGAAGCCAAGGATCGGTTCCCCAACAGGTCCTGGTTCAATGACCCCCCCCCCAAACCTTTAAAACAGTTCAACAATATTACATTTAAATGTACTCTGATCTCTACATGAAAATAATAAACATCACTTAAAATTATTTATTTTGACGTCTTATCTGAGTTTATGACTAAATCTAATATTTGAATCAATAATTTAAAACACTGAAAACTGGTCTTTTATTCAGTTGATTTTTATGACGCCATCCTGTAATTTCACAAGGTCTCTCCTAAAAAGTTAAAAACAATCAACTGGACACTATTTCCAAGTTTCTCTTCCCATCCAGGAAGCTTTTTTAATTCAAAAGTCAGAAATAGTGGTGAGTTCCAGGCTTTATACAGACTGTTTTTGTTTAAAAAACAAGCTAATTGAAACGGACGAACAGGTCCCCCCCTTTGGAACGGGGGTCGTTTTGGTTCTTTCGATAGCCTGCAATACCAGATACTGGCCTATGTCTCTTGACAAACCCCTCCAAAGACATAGAGAGGTATGGGGCATTGCAGGCTCACAAAAGAGGCAAACGACTCCCATTCCAATGGCGGTCCGTTTCGATTTGCATATTTTGCTTGTTTTTTTTTTTTTCAATTGTTGCACGCAGCTCCAGCTTGCACTGTACGATGAAACCCTGCAGTTTCGTCATACAGTGTCAGTTCCCAGCTCACGATGTTTGTTTGTTCTCACACTGTGCGAGCCGACGCTCTGATGCGATCTACCTGCTCACACTGTACGTCTAAAAACCAGGTGGGACTCAGCTCCGCGGTGAGATGGCGCTACTCGGACTCATCTATCCTGAAGCCAAACCAGTAGAAGAGGAATATGAAGCTCACTAGAGTGAAACGCGCTGCCTTGGCAATTTGGGCAATTTTGTGCTGAAAGCCCTAAAAAGAAAAGGAGACGACGTATTTGGACAAAGACATAGCTGAGCAACGTGGCTATTATGGTCTGTCAATTTTACAGAAAGAACTCCATTTCACTCATTGCACCCCCGCCATGCTGCTGGGTTTTCCTCTGAGAGGAAGAAGAAGAATCCTTGTTTGCCCACTGAGCGATTTGCCCACGACCACCTTACGACGGCCGACTGAATTTCAAACATGATTGATTTTCTCCCGACCTTAAGATTCCAGATGGGGGGGTGGTCGTTAGCGGCTGATCGCCCCTGGTTACCTCCTGTTCACTACACCACGCACCATCAGGCTAACAGTCCAGTGGATTGTTTAACTTTTTGAATGACTGTGACCTGGATGACAGGTCATAGTCATTCAGTACTTCACTAGGTTGCCCCCAGGGGGCGCATCCTCCTAGTATGGAGTGAATTTTGTTTCATTATTGTTACAAGCAAGGAACATGCTTTGTAAACTGATATTTTTTTTAAAAAGCAATCCAGAAAGAAAACCTTGAAAAAGTTTTCCATTAAAAAGGGGAGAGTAAATTAGAAAAAAATAGATTGTATATTTTGATATTCTGTTTTTTCAGGTTTCTGTTTTTCTGAGTTTTATGAATTTTATTCTTTTCATATTGTGTTTTTTTCCCCCAGATCTCATTCTCATTTTCTCTGCAAAGATGCATTTCTGTTGATTTGCTGGACATTAGCAACATTATTTGGTATTATTTGACAGGAAGTGAAGAGAATCCGATCTGTGAAACTCCTAAACTCAATCTGAAAAGAGAAACCTTCCATTTACAAAACGTGTTCTTTGTAACAATAATGGTAGAAAATTACCCCCATAAAAGTGTGTTCAACATCAGGAAGGCAACAACATTTTATGTTTAGGGAAACGTTCTTAGCTGAGATCAGAAATCTGCTCTGATGATTATTAATAAAAGGAGGACTGGTTATTATTTCTGTGGGGGTGGTGGCGGTGGGGGGGTTCCTGGTCTGAGAGGCGGCAGCATGAAGATCCGTTGTGAATATTGCCATATTTGAACAGTTTTCTGTTTGTTTTTGGTGAAGAGGGGAACTCAGCCTGAGAACAGAGGAGGTGTGGAAGCAGCCCTTGGTACGCAGGGTGGGCGAGAACAAACATCTGGGATCTTCATCCTCTCCAGCAGCTCCTTTATGAGGAACCTCCTGGGATTCCCCCGGTTCCCTCAAACAGCTCGCGGCGGTTTTTGCTCTGTGTTTCCACAGTTATTGCCCTGAAAGCTTTCAGGCTTCTTCACCTCCCTTTTAGTTCCATTGCTCTGTTTAATTATTTTTTGCATGTTATGGCCTCCTGTAGGAAGAATAAAATGAAAGAAAACCCCCAAAACAAACATTTGGGATAAAAATCTTGACATGCCATCAGTCACGTATGGTACAGAATATAATCCGATACGGTTTATTTACAAGAAGCATTCAAATAAGATCAGCCCGAGTTGGCGGATGCTTGGAGGACGTCTCCGTCCGTCCAGACTGAGGAGCGGGGAGATGATTGGCTGCTTCTCAGACAGCTGCAGGACCGGTTTGAGGGCAAGCAGAGGGCCGATGGGGCGCCAGCGGGTTCTCAGTTCAGCTGATCCTCGTATTGTTTCCGGAAACAGTCGCCGGCGGGGAAGAACTCCCAGCAGCGCTCCTGGTACATCTTCCAAACGTAAGACTCCTAAGAGAGGAGGAGGACAGCTGCTGTTATCACCTTCCAACAACAGAAGGTATTCCACTAAATCCTCAGGATTTTATTCCAGATTACAGATTACATCATTACATCAGTTACATTTTCAATGTAATTTTTACTGTGAATGAAAATTATCCTTAGAAAAAAAAGTGAAAACATACATTAACTTTAAACTTAACATAAAAATCGTCCTCTTAAAATAATAACAGCTTATTTAGAACAAAAAATATATATATTTATCTATGTACACATGAAAAGAAAATAGGTTTTAGGCTTTGAAAATATATTTTGTTTCGTTATAAATTGAAACAAAGGAGAGATTATTTCATGCTGGCGTGAGAATTCATTTAATGAAAATAATAGTCAATATATTCGCTGTTTAATCCTGAAAGATTAGGGTGAACAGTAGAAATTATTTTAGGGTTTTAAAAGAAAACTAATGAAAAAAAAAATAGAAAAGCAAAGCTGTGGGTTTATTAAATAAAGTTGAGTTTGTTGTGAGTCAGTGGAGCGGGTTTACCTGGCCTGTGTGCTCCGTTTCATCTTTGTTTATCAGGTACATCAAAAAAAACCTGGAAGACAAAAACAGGATTTTATGACTCATCAGTCGCTGCAAATTCAAAAAGTTTCTCTGATTATTTATAAGAATCTCCGGCTTTAAGTGAACGTCAACATCCAACACCTGCTGCCTCTCCTCCATTTTTGGATTTTTACACCTAACTAATCCCAATAATCCCACAGCTTCCAGTTTAGGAATGCTGTCACTCAATCTGCTCCATTATTACTGGAAGCAAAGGTTAAAAAACGGAAATTTGAAGAAAATTAAGAAATTTAGTTTCAAAAAAGAGAATTTTAAACATCTCTCAATACAGAGATAATGTTTTTTGACTAATTATTATTGGAAATGCACGACCAAACCCATCCATTCATATAAATATATATAAAGATTAGAATAATCGAACTTTGAATGAGAAGGCAAGAAAATCTGAATTTAAAAGCTACTGAAATATATAAAAATGTTTAATTATTTACTTATTTGAGATTAAAGTATATATATTTCTTTAATAAATGCATCAAAAGTCACATTTTTACATTTACAAATAAATTTCTGACACTTTTTAATCATATATGTGGCATCTATGGCTTTCCATACATGCTCCAGTCTGTAACTGATCCCATTGATGAACTTCTGCTTCAGATCTCAGCACCAAATATTTATGATTAAAATGTTTCTTAGCAGTTGAGGCTGAACAGCAGGATTGTCTGTTTTTCTATAATATTGGAATAAATGTCTCTCCGTACGCCATCGCCTCTCCTCTGTCTGTATGAGAGAACAGAAGGAAAACATTTCACTCTGGTTTACGGATCGACTTTTTTATTCCAACTAGCAGAAATCTGAAGAGGCTTTAGAAGTGCTTTCACATGCTGTCATCCCTGCTGTTTTTATAATAAATGTTATTAAATGGAGAACATTTGGATATGCATGACCTCTGAACCAGATCATCCTATTCTAGAAACAGGGGGGGGGGATTTACATTAGACAATACTAGGCAGTTCCTGGGGGCCCCATAAAACTCTGTTTCCATGTATGGTTAATACAACTATTCCTTATTTGTGCACATTAATTATGTTTTTGATAAAAATCCTTTTGCTGAAATGCCATCAGAACGCTGATAATATTAAGTGTGTCTCAGCCCCCCCCCCCCCTTCAGTGTCCACCATATTGGATCAGTCCATTTGCTGCACATGTTCAGAAAGGTCCAAACAGACAGCAGCAAACCATTTGAAAACAAACGATGCAAAGAGCAGTGTTGCCAACTTAGCGCTTTAGTCGCTATATTTAGTGACTTTTCAGACCCCTCTAGCACTTTGATTTCTAAAAAGCGCCTAGCACAAAATATAGCGATTTTTGTCTGCTACTGGAGACTTTGGAGACAACATCTAAAAGCAGCGAACTCTGCTCTCCAGAGCGAGTAGATTGGTAACCCCGCCTCCTGCTCTCCTCTATCTTGTCTGCTGTCATGATTCATGCAGCTATTATTTCATCCAAATGAAAAATGGAGAACAGAGAAGCAGATCATGGCTTGTCTACAGTGAAAAGAAGGACTGGGTTATTTACTTTGGCCTTTTTGGAAACACAGGAAGGAGCAATCAGCTAAGTGAGCTTAGTGCTTGGAAAAAATCTTTCATTCCTTTAGAGACAGCATGAAAAGTCAGCTGAGTACAAAACATAGAGAGGAAAACAAGAAGAAAAGGGACAAGAAGAGAGGGACACAACCTAGAACAGATAATGGATGTCTATTCTATTAACATTTCTCTATCTGTATAATGGGTCTGTTTTATGTGTTGTCTCCTCCATTCAGAGGGCCCCCTGCCTGTCTTTGCCTAAGGCCCCAAAATCCGCTGCCTTCTAGAACAAACTGCCCCATTATGGCTCCTTTAAGGCAGCAGCTCATAGTCCTGATGCTGATCTGATGGCGGCTGAAAGCAAACATGATGCTGCTATACTCACAAGTAGTTGGCTAAGTTGTGCTCCTGTAGTGTGTGAGTTTCAAACCCATGTGGTACCGTGTCAAAATAGTCATTTCCTATTCCACAGATAAAACATTTGGTCTGCAAGAAGAAAGGAGACAGATTAACGCCTTAACTCCACATCAGCTGGAGTCGGTCTCCATCAGAGACGTTTAGAGGCTGTTAAAGGAATAAAAATGGGATTATGCTGCAGTCTCTGCTGCTGACTGTGTACCTCCATGTCTTCTTTGACTTGTTCCTGCTGGTCTCTCAGTTCACCGAAGGCATCAATGATCAAACCTGGGAGGAAGACAGGAAAGAGCTGGTGTCACATCAGGGACATGCCAACCAAGGATTAGGGGATTACTGAGATTAATCTTCTATTTTAAGGACTTTCCCCTAATATTCCAGGTTTATTCTCATAAAATGATGACTTTATTCAAATCATTTCTCATATATTAAAGTCTTAACATTGCATGAGATTAAATGGGATTATCAGATTAAAGTTTTAACAAAAAAGCCTTGACAATAGGAGAATAAAATCATAATAAAACTAGATTAAAGTCATAACATCATGAGATTTATACATTTAAAATTATTCCAATAAAGCCATCATTTTATGAGAAGTATTATTATAATAGTAACAAGATTGAGGTCTTAACACTACATGAGATTGAATGAGATTATGAGATTAAAGCAGTACCAGAAAAAAACCATGACAATAGGAGAATAAAATCATAATATAAACAGAATAAAGTCATAATATCACGAGATTAAAGTTCTAAAAGATTTAAACTCAGGAGATTTTAGCTTTAAAACAAGAATAAAGTCACAACATTACAAGATTACAATTCTAATTAAATGGGGTTAAACTCATAATATTACCAGAATAAAATGGAAACGTTACAAGAAATAAAAAATNTAAACTCAGGAGATTTTAGCTTTAAAACAAGAATAAAGTCACAACATTACAAGATTACAATTCTAATTAAATGGGGTTAAACTCATAATATTACCAGAATAAAATGGAAACGTTACAAGAAATAAAAAATGTAACGTTATGAGATTAAAGTTGTAATATTACAAGTACATGATTTGGATTTTATGATTTACCGAATGAAAGCAAAAAAATCTGAGAATAAAATCCTGTAATCCCCAGATTAAAGTGTAAAAATGACAAGAATGGAGTGACCTAATAAAAATAAAATCATAACCTCACCTGAATTATTCGGAAACATTTCAGGATTAAAGCTTTAAAATAATGGGGGTTAAAATTGTAATTTTAAAAGAATTAAAGTCAAGAGATAAAAATTCAAATTCTGCGAGATTAAAGTGGAATCATTACAAGAATAAAATCGCTATTTTATGAGATCAAAGTAATTTTAAAAAGCCTGTATAAGACAGTATAAGAATCTTGTATAAGAATTATATAAAATACTTATTATATATATGATCAGTATAACATTATAACAGTAAGAATCCTGACATCAAGAGATTAAAGTCATAATATGAGCAGAATAGTTTGGATGCTGCTGTTTGGTTGAGCTGGATTATTAAAGCTTTGCTCGTATTAAAACTCATTTTTTTGTCTCATATTATGACCAATTTACTTTCATATTATTAAAAATTAATTCTCATAAAATAAATTTTCCTGGTATTCCTGGCAGGGGTGGAAGGCGTGTTTGCTGCATCCTCACCCTGGATGATGGCCAGAAGGATTACGATGACGAAGAAGAAGAAGGTGATGTCGAAAATGATGCGGTAGATCTCGTACTCATCGCCCGCAGGGTCCTCAATCTGGTCGCCGATCCCTCCGCCTGCTCGGACGCCAACATACATGTGGAACATGTAACACTGGATGGAAAAAAGGCAGAAAGAGGGAGAAAGTTTTTCTTCTGCAATCCACAGTTTGCCATTTTGGACCATTTAATCCAGAGATAATTTCTGTCAGCGTCACTAATCAATGTTTTGGTTTATGATGAATGTGAAGTAGAGAAAATAAAAGCATAATAAATAAACAAAAAGCACCATTTATTGTTTTAATTATTTAAAGGACATTTCTCATTGATCATCGTTGGCGTCTTCGTCCATCGTGGACGTCCAGTTTCAGGTAGAACCTCAATAACAGCAAACCAGAGTTCCAACGTTCAGTTAATTATTCTTAAATTTATGACTGAAAACATGGAAAGAAACGAGATTATACCAAAATGTCTGCTGGTAAGCTGGGAAACAAAGATGTCACCAAGAAACCGAAGCAACAGAACACAAAGACATCAAAGAACTGTTTCAAATATGAACTTATGGGGGGATTATTAGTTAGAGGTTTACAGAGGATTTAAAAAGGTTTTTAGTTCTGAAAACCTAATATTACTAAAGTATAAGAAAGATATTACAGCTAAAACAAATAACAAAACAATATATGTCCAAAATACTATATATCGAAAGAATTATTACTTTATTTCATATTTATAAAAATTTTAAGAAATTGTAATAAACAATTTGTTGTTTAAACAAGAAGATACCCTTCTGCGGCTACGCTAGTTAGCACCTCCCAAAAAGTTGCTAACTAGCTAAAGCCACAGAGCTTTAAACAAGGAGGCACCCTACTGTGGCTATGCTAATTAGCACCTACCATAGAGGTGTGAACTAGGTAAAGCCAAAGAGCTTTAAACAAAAAGATACCCTTCTGTGGCTACGCTAGTTAGCATCTCCCAGAGAATTTGTTAAAATAATGAAGAAGAGTCCCAGATCCAGTGTGAAAAAAATGCAGAAACA